GCAAACATCAGCAGGGGGAAGTTCCACTGCAAGGAAAAAAAAAAAAATTGATAGATGGAAAAATATTGCCGTGGTGTTTTGTTTTCAAGATGTCAAGCTGCTACCTCACTTATTTCTCAGGCTGATCCTTAACATAAATCTTTCCCAGCACAAAGCAAGGATTTTTTTTAATTACTGCCATTAAGAAAGCAACAACAGTGACCTTTTAGTTCTTTCTTTCCTGTTCAAAGAAATAGAACCCCCACCTGCAATCTCCAATCTCCATAAAAAAATATTCTGTTATCTGTTCATCTTTTTTGGTCACAACTTTTTATTTCACTTACTTGTTTTTCAACAGGCATTTTTAATTCCCCCATAACAAATAGATCTTGCCTCCGGTACATTTGGAAGGAACTGTTCATTCAAGTTGGAGCATTTTTGGATGTAAATTTCCCATCCCTAAGTAACTCTTAAGATAAAAAAATTATACTCAAAACTGTAGAATCCTTAATTGATGGAGTTACAATAAAAAGTCCATAAATGTCAATGCTCGGTCAAAACATTTCATTTTCTTGAAGACTTCATACTGAGCAATTTATATGGAAGACATTAAGGGAACAGTAAAAAACAAGTTGAGAAACTCTTTGATGATAAAAAATTTGTATTGTCATTTCTTTTCAACTTCGTTTAACTGCAGCAAAATTGTAGTGAATTATGTTATTTTGATGCACAAACATGTTGTGGATAAAGATAAAAGTAACCAGCCTTTCACATCAAGGCCTGATCCTAACAGGTTAAATGGAAATGCCAGAGTAATAAAATAACTGTGTTTGCACAATCAGTTTTATAAATGCATACAATAATCCCCTTTGGAAAGAGAATAGAAAATATCAGTCACAAAAAGTCAGCCACTGGCCAGAATGTGTTACTGCCTGATGCATATCAGCTGCCACTCTCACAGACATCTCTCTAGCCCCTGGCTAACTTGAAAAAATACACAACTGTCTTTCCTTCACCGAACATCCAATTTTTTACTCCCCCTGTTGTTTATAAACTCTGGAGACAAAGTGATGTTTTAATTCCATCTCCAGTATATAAACCTGGGAGGGGAGCTGTAGGGCCAGCAGTGTGCTAACAGCCTGCACTTCTAATGGTATTCAAGGAGAGCTTGGAGGAGTTTTATAGGGCAATATATAGCCTGTTTATGCTACAGCGCTGCCCAAGAGCACGTTTTGATGGAAGCTGGGATGTGAAAGAGGATGAGGAGTGCAGTGCTAGGCTTGCTGTTTAATTTTATTTTTGTAATAATGCATTTGCTGGTGCAATGGCCAGGGGCTGTTCCCTGTGACTGGTAGCTGTGGAGGAAATACATAAGAGATTAGCAGCAGTGTTAGAATAGATTTTGTGACAGCCTCCTTAAAGTTTTGGAGGGCAAAGCTGAGGGGAAAAATAAACATGCGTGGTAGATGGTTGGGAACCCTGAACAAAGAGTTTTACACATCTGAACTAAACAAATCCTATTTTTGGCAAGATCTCCAGCCTGTGACCGAATTTCTTCAACAAATGTGTCAAATAAGCTCAATGAGACAAGCCTACGAGATGTCCAGCAGCACTGGGACTGTCATTTAGCCAATCCTTATCCATATGCCTGGCTGAAGAATGGGGACAAAGCTGTGGAATCTTTCATTCATAAGGCCCAGGCTAGGAGAGTGTGTAGGTGTTTGCAGGATGGGTGCAGCCACAGACTGTCTGAGTCTGAGCATGTTTCTCTGGGTTTCCACGGAGTGCCGAACACAATAGCCACCCCTTAACAAAGACATGAAATAGCAACGATATAAATAGAGAAAACGGGCTCAAAATTGTTAAAATAATCTTTTTTTGGCTGCTCTTTTTGTAATGGAAGTGCTGCATGTAACTGTTTAGTGGCTTTGTGGTTAACATGAACAAAATAAAAAATCAGCATCAACAAAAATTTCAGAGAATGTCTTGATTAGTCCCCCAGTGCTTTGTCAAGAATAAAAGCTTCCACACAATATTTTATTAGCTATATGTGAGCCTCCCATTGAAATTTCTGCCAAAGCTGGTTAACTGGTTCTTCTGAAAAAGTTACCCTCTTGGTGCAATTCCCATGCACTGTTCAGCAAGATTTTATTAAGGGTGTATACTGGGGTGTAGGGGCAGTATTGGGTTTGACAAAATGATCTGTTTCTCTCTCACAACAAATAAACATTTCATGTCTTTTATTAGCTACACAATGTTAATTGTAATGATATGTCTCCTGGAGTTTCCTTTTCTCCTCCAGCCTTGTAAAAGAAATAGCAGGAAAGAATGGAATTAAAATACATCACATTCTCCCAGGAACTGAGGAGCCTGTTAAATCACAGTAAAAACTAAATAAATAGAAAGACTACCACAGCAAAGCATCAATTTTCCATAAGTTGTGTGAACATCCATAACCACTGACAGCATATTAACACTGTGTTTTGCTTTGCTTGTTTTAATCATGAGAATTCTATGACTTGAGAACTTAACTCCTAATAACAGAGCCTAAACCCTATTAGCATGTTCAAATAAGCATTTGCAGGGAGGCTGTTAAAGATATGTCAACAATATGAGCTAAGCTTTTTTCGTAATGGAAAACACACATAGCTGAGGACCGTGTTTTATGTATCTTTAAAGAGAGCTGGTTCAAATGAAAATAAATAGAAAGTGCTAGTAGAGATACTCACAGGGATGATCTGTCCACACACTCCGATGGGTTCATGTCTTGTAAACGTAAAATAATCTCCATCTGAAGCAGATGAGCATGGTTACTCTCAAGTGCAGTTTGACTTGGCAGAACAAAAAAAAAATTAAAATAGAGGGGGGGAAAAAACTCTAAAGATCAGCCTTTGATGGCAGTAAAAGAAATAAAGAAGTCATGGAAGTGTTTTTTCGTGAGCCAGCATGGGAAACCTAGGTTCAGGAGCAACCTAATTGTTCTTTCTGTAGAACAAAGAGAGCAGGCATCCCCTCAGAAAGTAACCTGCTCTGTTCCTTGAGAAAGAGAACAAGCTGTACAGCACAAAAAATTGCAGTAGCATGGAAGCCACTAAATGGCCTCAGCTCTCTAAGGGTGAGAGAAGTGAAGGAAGAGTCACAAAGGCAATTTCCTGAAAGGCATGACTGGAACACAGCAATATAAAGGTGTATATACAACCAGATGTGGGACAATAGAGATGGCAGACATACAGGTCATCTGCCACTGGGGACACAGGCAGTTTGAAGTGATGGAATGATACACCACAACCTGTAGATGTGGAATGAAGGGGGCAAGTTTGTGACTTGTGTCACTGCAGAAGACAACGCTAATGAGTATACAGGGGTCATCACACAGCCCTGCTTTTCCAGCTAACGTGTACAAGGCCTGTGTCAGAAATGGCCTGGAGCTCAGTCACAGGAAACTTGGAAAATATGAGCTTTTCTTAAAGAACTTCTGACAGAAATAGAAATATGCACTGAGGTCCTAACAACAAAGGTGCAGGAAAAGCAGACTGCATAGACACAAACTGCAGGTATGGATGGTATGAGGCTGAAAGGAATTACTTAATTAACTCTCTGATCTGGTAACTATTTTTAAGGTTCTGATGAACAAAAATCGCAAAAAACCTCCAGGGATGAGAGGTATCATTATTTAAAGTGAGTGCTACGTGGGATTGGCAGTCCTTAGCAACTGTTGAGCTCAGGGCAGCCTGAGTCAGGTCATGGAATAAACAGATTTGTGATTTGGGGTCAGGCCTGTGGTCTGTGGGATCCACTCACATGACCCCTGTTCCAAGCAGCCCATTCAGCATGGCTGGGATAAGTGGCTGCCATGGGGGCTGATGGAAGTTCAGTCTCTGTCGCAAACTGCACGTGGTTGCTGCTCCAGCCTGGGGTCTGGGAGCACATGATGAGGTTACACAGCCTGAGATACCACGGAGGTTTCTTCCCAATTGACAAAGAGCCAGAAAACAACGTGCTCTGGGTGGGGACTGGTTAAGGTATCAGTTAAGGTACGGTCTAACCAGCAGCTTTGTTAGTGTGCTTGGCATTCATGTGTGCAAAGTAGATATACAGTACTTTTGTACCTAAATTGAGTCTTGTAGCTGTATAAACCAGCCCTGAGTTTAGGTCAGATGTTTTTCAGTGAGGCTGTAGCCAAGGCAAGGGCTATGCTAAAGGCATGAGCTGAATGTGCCCCTTGGCCTGCAGTGCTTGGTCATCTAGAAAAACTGGAATCTCTTAACTTGGAAAATCATTTCAACTAAGTATGTGAGAATGATGAGAAGGTTGCATAGGCTTAATGGCGGGAGATGATTTACCAGGATAAGAAAGGGTCAGACAGTGGAAGGGAGTAAGAGGAGCAGGAGAGATTACAGGGCTTTTGCTCCCATTGTTCTGTCCAAGGCAGGGGTCTGTGCTTTTCCTCTCGGGGTGTGAAGTGTCAGGCAGCCACGGCCTCTGCCCCTTTCAGTGCAGAGCTGGAGCCAACCTTGTTCAATACTGGGGAAGGACCTAATTCACAATGGACAGTGTTTGGGGAACCTGCTGCAATGTCCTCCACCATACATCTGGTAACAATAAACAGGTTAATCCATAAAGTTTCTTGGATTTAAGAAAAGACTTCAACTTGAATTTGATTAGAAATAACTTATTTTCAGGTCTGCTTCTTTCTATCCATCTGCTTTACCGGATTTGCTCAGTAGAAACCTGAGCTAATGCATCAGCTGGGGGCCAGATACAGATAATTATGAGAAAGGTAACAATAGTCTGCATCCAAGACAAAGGACACAGCAGAGTAAGTAAAAGAGGGAGGGAAAGAGACAAAAGAGATTCACATCAGGAAAAGGTGGAAAAAAATACTTATCAGTTGATTTGCTCTGCATTGACAAAACATTGTTTTACCATTTTGATCTCTGAATCAACTTCCCAGTGGAGATGAGAATATTTGTGTCATAGACTGAGATGATCAGTTTGGTTTTCCATTTTACTGTTCACAGATTCTAGCAGTGGTCCACAGACCATAGGAAAATTCATCAGCCCTTACAGAAGTGAAGTCGAAATACAGAGAAGAACATACAAGCAAAACTGCCTAAGTACTCGAGAGGCTTACAGAGGAGTCAGCTAAAAATACCAGCTGGTACTGGGTAGTACTGAGAGGTGGGTTCTCAGCAGAAGGATGGTGGCAACACAACAGCAACACAGTTACGTTAGCACTGTCTGACTTTAGATTGTCACTGCATAATCAGTGCCACTTGTCTGCGTGCTTCATAACACAAGTTATAGATAACCTGGACCTGCTTGCCAGCTCAGACAAATGGTGGTTAATCCTTCCCAACGTGGGCAGAACGTTCTTTCTGCGGAGCAGTACCTCCCATGCAGAGCTGCTCTCCCTGCTGTCTTCCACTAGACTCCAGACAGCTGCCCTTTTTGACACCTACTTCCAAAGTTCATCATCCACGGACTTACTGTCAAGATGGGATTTCTCAGGTTGCTTTCTAACAATATCTTTGGGAACACACGTGACTTGAAGTTATTCAGGAGCCTCGGATGTCTCTGGACAGGCCAAAGATGGATCGAAGGGCTGCCTTGCCCACAGTGTAAAACAAGCCGTTCCCATGGTGAAATAACTCAAGAATTAAGTGAATCTCTTATTCTAAACAGTGAGCATAGAAAGCTCCCTTGTGCTTAGAAATTACATAGGAAACTTTTAAAATGTTTTAGAGTTTTAAGATTAGTTTATACAAGTCATGCTAATCACACTTATTCTAAGGTGCTATGGCTGATGGTTGTTACTCTTATCCTTTACTAGCTGGCCTCCAGAAGAACATTGCCTGAGAGGAATCTGACACTGATCCCACATACAATCTAAAATTTTGTGTTAAAAGGGTTTGTTAATATTCTCAGCTGATGTAAACTGACATTCGTCAGTCCTCACTAATATTAATAGAGCAAGATCAATTTGCAGCTGCTTAGCACCTGGTCCAAAGACTTTATTTTTTAATCAGAAAGCAAGTCCCATTTATCCAGGGGATCTCACTCTGGGACAGCAATATCTTCCACAGATGTGTTTGCTCAGATTTCCATCAGGAGTCTCCATCCTGGATATTTTATTTGCATAACAACCATCATACAGTCCCATGCCTCATGTAGCAGGACACAGCAAACAAGTGGGTGAGGAGAGCTGAGTTGGTTCTTTAAACTGTATCATATCATATATTGATTTAAAGATACATTTCTGTTTGCATTCAGTTTATTAGTTTAACAGTTTCTAGTCCAGCCTCATTCTGTTTTAATTTAAATCATCAAGGCTTTACGCATGGGAGCAAGCAAAGGGCAGTCTGAAGGTTTTGTAGCTCTGGGACTAAAAGGAATGTGACTGTAAAATTCACTGTTCTTCTTCTACTTGTGTATCACTTGACTGTTTTTGTTTTAGAGGAAAAGAAAGCCTCAGCAGAAACAGATGAAAGACTGAGAGGTTTCTGATTTATTAGCACTCTGAACAGAAAAAGGAGATTTAATAGTGTTTTTATTTTGGTTTTGTTTTCTTGTTTGTTTACCTTTGATGAGCTGGTGGTAAGTGAACTTAAAGAGCACTGGCTTTGCTCTAAAATAGCTTTATGAGAATGACAAATTTATGGTGTGAAACTAGATGGATAAGGAGGAGTGTTAAAGCAAGAGAAAGAACTAATTGATATCCTGAAAATCTGTGAATGGACCTATGATTCAACACTACTGATAACTGTGTTAGCACAGAGTTTGCATTGAGGAAGGTGTGCTGAAAATGTGCCTTCCTTTTGCCCAGCATAGCCCTCCTCACTGAAAAAAAAACCCAGTTTGTATCCTATACAGCAATCGAAAACGAGAATAAGCAGAGAATATTTATTCTCCTTAACCTGGTAATGGCTTTTGGTGACTGACCTAATTTCTGTGTACCTGCAGGGCTAAGGAGTGAGAAGGAGGCATTCAGTGACCAGGGAGTAAGAGATTAGGGGACAGGAAATTTGCTGAATGTACGAATTTATGGTGTGGTCTGCACTTTTGTATGATTAAATGGGAAGTGCAAGCAGCAAAAACGGGATTTACAAATCTCAGCCTAAATGACTGTGGAAATCTTTGAGTCCTTGCAGGAGAATCTACACCTGAAATAATAATATTGTCATTTCTTTGGTGAAAATAAACTAGTGCTGATAAACACATTGCAGTTTTAATAAGGTAAAACATCACAATGAGTAACGCTGCAATAAGGGTTACATAATCTGTTTTCCTTCTGAAAATTTTGGGGGCATATTTTCAATTTATCTGCTTGTCTGTCTTAGTTTCATGCTTTGCTGTACAGAGGTAAATGAGTGCACTGCAGACATCGTGTTACACAGTGTAACACCGGGGAAAGAGGTGGGTAACACCAAAATCCATTTACCTGGTAGTGTGCCTAACATGCTTGTGCAATGAACAGTGTGCACCATGATGCCAAAAAGAGCCCACAGAATGAAAGTTCGTTTTCCTTAATATTTTTCAAAAAAATTATTTTATGTGGGGGAAAGATGACTGCAATTATCTTAATGACTGCACCTACAGAAAATCATTCTTTGCTATTTTGCCATGTTGCATAATTACAGCACTTGCTACATCTAGTCCAGACTGCAAATGAATATGTTTGCATCAGAAAATGCAGCTTGTATTTGTTAAACAGCTGGGAGGGAGGGGCAGGAAGAAGAGACTCTTTAAATAAAAATAATGGTAAGCCTTTTTTCTGATCTCTTTGGCAAAAAAGAAGAACATAATAAGTTCCTAGAACTCATACAGATTTATCTCATACTTACAATAAAAAACTCATCTCACTGAATAATTTGAAGAAGCATATATAACAAAACATATCCGATATATGTGTAGTTCTGTATAGTAACATTACCACCTCTTTCAAAGTATAAGTTAATATACATCCAATGTTACATCCAAGTAAAATTATTTGCATAAGCAGTAAGAAGACACATTTAAACAAGATTTATATGTAAACATACTGTTTCTTTAACAGGCAGCTAATACTATTTTCATGAGTTCCAAGGTATTTCTCAGGCTTATACTGCATCCATTTTTATGTGTCTCAGTATTTAAATGTAGGTATTGAGCTGTCCCCTTCCCAGATGGTCACATGCAAAAGAAACCAGGCACTCTTGAGATGTGCATGTCGGGCAGAACAACAGCAGGGCATCTTTCAAACCTCTGACTTTCAAACATCTGCTTCAGCAACACACTACACGGTGTAAGAGCAAAAGAAGGTTCCCTTCTCCATTCCATGAAGCTGTAATCTATTAAGCCATGTGGCCATGAGGAGGTTTAGGTGCTTTAATTCCCCTTACCTACAGGAATGGTCATTCCGTGGATTTTGTCTGCCCAACCGGCATAATACCTCAGGGTTTTTATGACTCCCTGGAGATCGACGTAGAAAGCTTGCAAGAAGGGTTTACCACTGTTCAGGGATTCCATGGTCTGGAGGACAAGAAAAAGTTAAGAGATATAAGCACAGTAACACTTTTGGACTATTGTACTTCAGTATTCACCATCTTAACAGATCTTCAGTCATGACAAAGATTTTAATGAGGGCCAGCCAGTTACATCTTGGCATAGTTTTACCCCAGAAGTTTCAGAACAATTATCTGATCCCCTTTGTTACTTCTTTCTGCAAATGTGAACAAAAAGCATTTTCCTTTGAAACAAAGTGGTTTCTTCTGGAGTATTCTGGAATGGCTGTGATTTAAGGAACATGTGTGTGTTTATGTGTGTTTGTTTATCTGTCTGTCTTGTGGGTTTATGTGTGTATCCACATGCATGTGCATGTGCCTTTGTGTATTTTGAACCTAATAGCCACTGTGTTTGGTCCAGATCTATAAATGCTGAATTGCTTTAATCAGGAGCCAAGATAAAAATGCCTGTCAAACCAGGTTCTGTTATGTTAATGATAACAGCTGAGAAGGGGCTCCTTGTAACCCCTTATTAATGATCTGAATCCATAAAGAGAAGAATGGACATATCCTTCTTTATATAATTAATGTGAATATAAAAATTTCTCTATATGGCTGCCAAGACTCCTGCTGAGGTCTGAGATATCTATACGTACAGCCAGTTTATTTACTGCCATCAAATAAACAAACTCTCCTCTAGGGAAGCTCATAAATTAACAAGCTAATGTCCTCATTTTTAAGTTAATATTCCTAGTTTTTAAAAGTATCTTATAAGCTATCCTCTTAGGGATTCCTAAGATCATTAGCAAAAAGAATCCAATAAAATACCCTAAGATGTTGAGGAGCTTAACTTATTCTCAATAGCTGTCTAATAGAAATTGTTAAGAATGGGCAAAGGACGCCTGTGTGTAACACACCAACCATCAAATGAGTTTCTATAGAGAAGAATGGAGGCCTAATTCTGCACTGACTTATATCCCCAAGAGCAATTAATGGCATTGCCTGCAGTGCAATTCAGTAAAGAACTTGGCTCCAGAAATAAAAATCAAATGACAGGCAGAGTAAACTTGATTTGCTGTGCACTTCCTTTTCCCTGTGGCGATTTTACAGTATACGCCGGTGGTAAGATGATTTAAGTGTTGACAAAGCTGGAATTAAGATGTTCTCCGGCTTAGTTCAGAGCAGTTGACATGCGGAAAACAACATTAACAATGCCACTGTTTCGATGGCTTCATCCACCAGCAAAGTAGTGCCGTGCCCAGAACACGTGTCCCCGCCCGAGTGTCGGCGAGCGTTTCACCTCCACTTCGGGAGTGGCTGCACCAATCACTTAGTCTGGCATTTTTTACTCTAGAAAAGTTAGAAGTGCAGGCACAGAGGTGTGTGCACACCCCTGCATCCGTGTGGTGTCCAATTTAAAGCTCATTTGAGCCCACTGGAAGGCTCCTGTTGACTTTTATGTGCTTTGGATCAGGCCGTGAGTAGACAGCCAGACATCTCAGCCATGAGGCTGAGTGTGGCTTTCAAACACAACTCAGGTGAACACATTCATGAACCAATTTGCTCTCAGAATATAAAACTGACAAATGATTTGACTGTTGATTTTCTTGTGCCACTTACAGCAAGAATTGCCCTATCTCTCTCAACCAAGTCTGCCAGTTTATCCAAAAGATGGCCTCTTTCCGATGCATCCATTCTCCTCCAAACAGAACCCAGAGAAAAAGCAAGCCGGGCTGCCCTCACTGCTTTGTCCGTATCGACCTGTGAAGAAGACAGAAAAAAACTGAAGGCACAAAGGTAAATAACATAACCAGGCTTATGAAATTTGCTGTTGTACGACCTTCGTCATACGATGGGTTTTGGAACTATGATTAATAAAAGAACTGTCCGACAGTTCTATCCTGGACTGGTTGCTTTGATCTATTTATAAATTTCTATTATCTATTATTTGAACTATTTATACATTTCATTTATACATATACCCATTCATGGGATGCATTACCTTGTCAGCTTCCTGAATCTCACAGATCTGCTCTCCTGTTGCTGGATTATATACTGGGAATATTCTCCCACTTTCGGAATTCTGCCATTCGTTATTGATGAAAATCTAGAAAAGGAAGAGAAGTCATCAGGCCTCCTGTGTGAGCAAACTGTGATGTATATAACAACAAGCTCCCGGGAAAGGCTGCAGATTCTAATACAAAAGAGCTAAAACTTATTTATGTCTGTGAAAATTACAGTTCTCAAGCATTCAGGCTGAGGCCAGCCCTGATGTCTTTCTGTATTCTGTAGCAGTGTCACTATAGACGCAACATCAAATTCCAAATAACTTGGTTCACATTCAAATTTTATTCAAAAACTGTAACAGATAAACTAAAAAAAGAAGTACCTCTATCAGACAAAAAGCCTTGAAACTGCTGGAGACAAGACAGGGATTTGGAGTAATCATTCAGTTCAGTAAGTAAACATTTGGTCACTGATACAACCCAGCCAAGGCTGAATAATCTCAAACATCACAGTTCTTCAATACACAGTCAGTTAATTATGGCAACAGTGATGGCTTGCAGCACAGAACTAACTTGCTTATCTGCTTGGAACAATGGAAATTGTTGAATTCTCTCAGTGTTGATATCATCTTAATTGTCAAAGGCAAAACAAATTTGAATGGTAATGGTGCTGACAACAGCTGTCTTGAGAAAGGTAATGACAAATGAGTTTATTTAAAGTAGATTTTTACTGGTTGCTGTATACATGTCAGTTATTTCCTACTGAATGACTTTCAAGAACAGGATGCAGTTATTTATTAGCAAACATGAAACAAGTCACTCCAGGAAAATGAAAGTTTTTCCAGGTATTCAAACTCTTTTCCTGTCTTTTAAATCCTTCTAAGAACAAAGGTGTTCAAAAAGTCCAGGCACCATAAGGACTTCTTGGAGTTCAGATATCAATGTACTTTCATTGATACCTGAACATTGTATTCCATGAAATACAACTTCAAATGTGTAAGGGGATGTTCTGGCCTCATTGAAATAAATGGGAATTTTACTCCTTACTTCACTAGAGGCAGGAGTTCACACCTAAAAAGAAGGAATGTTCACTACCACTTTTTTTTTTTTTTGTACATAGGGCTGTTTATAGAGACTGGGACCCGTTGAAAGACTGAGGAGTCCCAGTTCCAATCAGAGATACTCAGGTGGTAAAACCTGGACCATCTTTTTACACATGAAGGCACAGATATGTCTGTAGAGTTTTCATTCACCGGACAGCTCGCTCAGCTTGTTCTCCAAGCCAAATGGAAGCCCTGTAGCTGTGTTCTTTTCAGCAGGGCTTATTAGCTCAGGCTCAGTGCCACACTAACTGCAGTGACACAGCTGCTGGTTCAGAGCTGCCTCATGTCCTGCTGTCTGAGGACATATGTGGAGGGAACCTGTGTCTGCCTGCACCAGACCCTGGAGATAGAGCAACTCTACAGAGCAACAATTACATGAGTTTTTGCTTTTATGGATGCTTTTGCTATTATTGTGTTTCCTCATCTTTCCTGTACCTCCAGCTTCAGCCACTCTGCTGTGTGCCCTTCCACCCATTCCAGACTGTTCTTTTTCTACTTTCCCCACTCTTTTGTTTAGTTTTCAGAGGTTGCTGAACCCAGGACCTACCACACCACTCCCATCGCTTTCTTTGCACGCTGTACTTATCCTGAACCTGTTCATGTCCTTGGACTTTAAGCTCCTCAGATCTGCTGGTGTCTTCCTGCTCAGTGATCACATCATTTGGCAAACCCAAGTACTGGTCCCTGTTAGGACATTTGGGAGCTAAATCAGCTAAAATAAGATAGTGAAAGAATCTCCAGTATTATCTCCAGTGATTAACACCGTATGCCAAAATCCTCCAGTGTATTATTGTCACATTTTAGACTGTAAGTGAAAAAGAGAAACTGAGATCTGTGACCTGTGTGGAGGAAGGATTTTACTGCCATGCCTTTCATTGAGTTAACTTGCACCCAGCATGTGTGGGGGTGCTGAGGAGGAAGGGAAAGAGAGAAAAGCTTGCAGCTTCAGGAGCAGATGGCCAGAGGAGATGTAAGTGTGTTTGTTTAAGGTGACAGTATGTACATAAACACATAGGCTTCTCGTGTGAGCTGTACTGAAAGAATAAAACAGTTCAGTTGAGTACAAGGACCTGAGAAGTTGTGGCAACCACAATTCAGTACTTCCCTTCCAGAAGTGGTCTGTACTTTCTCAAAAGGATTAAAAAATTCTAACTCCATTCTGCTGGGATTAACACCTATCAGGTTTGCTAGTGAATAGGACACATATTTGTTCTTAAAATGCATTTCATCATAGTAATGAGAAATAGTGCTTTGGAATTACAAAAGAGTGTTGCAATTCAAATCGGCTGGAAGAAAAAGGTGTGTTATTTAACTGAATGCTCCATTTATCCCACAGATTTTGAAAAAGAACAGTAATAGTAAATATTTCAGATAGGACATGGGAAGGATCTATTTGGCATAAAATTAGAGCTGAAGGCAAGAGAAATTGCTACTGTTAATGGTTAATGTTAGTTTCTTCCTGTTCCACTTTCTATAAACAAGGTATTGCCTATACAAGCTCATTACTGTAAACTGAGCACATTTAAATTGGCAGTAAAATCAGAGTATTTACTCTAGTGCACAAATAAAGTACCTAGTCCCATGTTTTGGAACAGTTTCAAGTCTTGAAATCCAGCAGCTGGCGTCTTTACAAGCAAAACCTTGCACTAAACAATTCACTTTTGAAAGTTTTAGGTGTTCTGTGTCAGGTAGTACCATTCAGCAGATATTCCTACCACCAAGACGCAGATTCTTTTGCAATAAATTTGCATTCATAGGGGCTTTTATAACTCTTCCAGCACTACTGACTCCAATGGCTGTTGATTAAACGTATATATCCTGTACATTTAATCTGACTTTCATTATGGCCACTTCGTAAAAATGCCATGGAATGGAGAAGCGATGACACATTGCAAGAACAAGGAATCC